AAAAAAAAACACTCCACAGCTGTCTGATGACCGGCTTCTCTGTTTACTTTCCAAGCCTGCACTTCGGACTATCCTGGATACGTAAAGTTCGGTGTTTTTTTATCCTGCTTGTGCAGAACTAATGGGTCGGATTTTTTACAGTCGCCAAAGGCGAATTTGTCGAGTCGTTAGTGAAAGCCAATTGAAACAAAGAATCAAGCGGCTCTTTTTCGAATCTTGAGCTATCTTCTAATGTAAAATCTGTAGCGGGAATTCTGAAAGATTCCATAAAAATCTAATATCTCTGAAATTCGTGTAATGCAGGGTGTTAGTTTTGGGTCATTTTCGGCACAAACACGCGCACTAACCTGATGACGGAGTTGTGCTGATTTGCTGAAAGCTAAACAGTTTAGAATCTGCAAGCTGACAGATTATAAAAAAAGCAGAATTACTAATTGGCACTTTTCAGAGATGTTTTGCGAGAAACGCTTATTGATTATTTTATTAACTGGTTACTGCATAATAATCACTCTGAGTATTTTATCGTTTGTCGGCCTCATTAGCATAATTTATCATCTACACTCGGATGCGCTTGTTGATATTTCTGCCTTTAATGTAAGAGCACATTTCGATTCTTCTTGTTATTATCCCAATTTTTCGACCCTTGTTATTATCCCGATAAGCTCTACAGCTCATTTAAATTCTGACAGCTTCTACAAGCTATCAGAATTTAATTTTTTATTCTAAAACTTACGACATCATGAAAATCAGTTCCTGACATGCCGTACCCCAAGTACAGTTATTATAGATACTGCCCAAGTATATTTTATTATTTTTATTATATTATATTTTTGTATAGTCTTGCCTATACTGTAGGCAGCATTGTAAACCTTTATCACAATATTTATATTCAGAAACGGTCAAAAAAAAATTATAGATAAAAGGATTACAGAATAAAAATTCAAAAAGATCAGTAGGATTGTTTCAAAGAAGAGTATGCACAAAAACTTACTTAGGGACAACATTTACTGAACAAAACTTAGCAAAAATATGTTGCGCTTTCATGCACACTTTTAGATATAACTGCATGACTTAAAAAGAATTTAAATGCCAATCAATTTTTTGAAAAATAAGTGAAGCTAGATACTGATGCTAAATTTTTCAGACGCTAGCTTCCAGTGCTGTGGAAAACTTGAAGAAAATTGAACAAAACACCTTAGCTCAGTCCTATTTCTCCAAAAGACAGAAAAGGAAAACATCGAAAAAATGTCCGCCAGGGCCAATAGGACGACCGGGACAGCCAGGCCTAGACGGTATTGATGGTATTCCTGGAATACCGGGCACCAGTGGACAAAACGGCGAGGATTATCAGTATCGTTATAAATGCAAACTGTGCGAAAGAGGGCCGAAGGGACCAAAAGGCAAGATTGGGTCACAGGGAAGTGCTGGTGTTAAAGGACGACCAGGACGGCCTGGTCAGCCAGGCATACAAGGCCCGGAAGGACCAAGAGGGCCAAGAGGAAAAAAAGGAGAACCAGGTTAGCTGTTTATAATTTTCAGGGAAAAATCGCTTATGAGGCTTTCATTTCTAGGTACAGGCAATATCCAAACTTTTCTTGTGCTTCTATTTCAGATGCGTAAGACACGGTTTTTCGTCATGTTATTCCAGGAGCTTCTTGTGTAAAATACTTTTCCCACAAATGTTATCTTTTGAAATCACTGGAGTTGTAATACCGGAAAGGAATGTACGTAACTTAATGGACTGAAACATTTCAGTAACTTGAACTTAATTTGTAATAATTCTTTCCCTAAATTTCATATCTTTCCGTATATTTTTGCAATTTCGCAATAATTCTAAACTAATAATAAATGTAAATAAGTATATTATTATTACTATTAATATCATTACTGTCATTATTATAGTTATTACTATTACTACAACATTTTTTTCGTTTTATTACTGTGTATTACTACATTGCTATTATTATATCTTGATATTTTAGTTGCATTATTATTTTTACTAATATTTTTAACAATATTCTTTATTGTTATTGCTATTACTATTTCATCATTATCTCTATCTTTATTCGGTGAGGCCACGTAAGATAACGTTGTTTATTACTTAAACACGGCTGAAGTCTCATGGCAAAGAGAACTTTCTCACTGTAAAATATTTGGATGTGTAGAGCACTCCAAAACTGTAATCCTTGTGTGGCCCACGTTGCAGGAGTAAAAATTCTATTTTTCAGCAGTTCATAGAGCAACATCTTTTATAAAGCCGTATCAAGTGTTTCATACATATGATTTTCACATAATCTATTTTTAGGTTCGAAAGGTGACCGTGGAGCTCCGGGCAGTCATGGCAGAGACTCGGTTCAAACGATCCACCTTCCAGGTCGGAAAGGTATCCCTGGAGAGCCTGGCTCGCGCGGTAAACGTGGCCGAAAAGGACTGACTGGACCTGTAGGCGAGCCAGGACCCCCGGGGCGCCAAGGACCACCTGGAATTCAAGGAATCCATGGTAAAGATGGCTGGCCAGGTCCTCAAGGGGATCGCGGTTCAGCTGGTTTCGATGCGCTATACTGCCCCTGCCCAGCAAGAACGTTTGACGTGGACCGGTACATCTATGATAACTACCCGAAGTTTGATTTTGCCGAGCAAATCGAAGTGCCTCCAGCAACAAATTCTTTCGACGATGCTCTGGAACCAATTTTCGGCACTGTCAAGAAAAGGCAGTTTCGTCAGCGAATGTGATGATAACTCTGGCAGGAGAAACGATGCACAACACGGCTGCGATGCGATCAGATGTTTTTGCGAAAGGTTTCTGTTCGGTGAGCGAATACACAAAAACATACAGATGGTAGCAATGTTTCGTCAGGATGCTTTTTCAATCTCACCGTCTTTGTAGGTCAACAAATTCTGAATTCATAGTTGACAGGTACAGGGAGTCTATTTGGTTGAAAAGTCAAGGTGAAAGACGCAGTGAGCTCCGAAAACTGGGTTTGCAGAATTCAAACCAACGATGTGATGAACAACATACTCCAACAGATTGTGCTTTTAGCTTGTTCTCTAAAATTTCAAAATAATCTGAAAATAAGCTCTAAAATCTTAAAATAAGCTTACGTGAGGAATTCAGGCTTAGATCAAATTATACGGAACCTCTAAAGCTGATTTTTGGCTAACTAGCCTGCTTTATTGATGAATTGAACGGGAAAATTATGAGTTTTATTTTTTCGAATTATGAGTTTTTTTGAGTATGAAACTGAATTTTTAAGCTAAAATACAGGGAAAGGCAACTCTAAAGCCGAACTGGCACTGTGTTTCTAGAATTTAACCTCATAGGGTTTGAGAATTTTGAAGTTAAATTGTCTGCGCTAACAAGCAGATAAACATGCTTTCAAATGCATTCGAAATGTGCTCAGATCTCATCCTAATACGCTTTTGACTTGTATAAAAATGCATAAACATTTTTGAATGCGAAATATTCCCAGGAGAAATAGTAATCGTCCGTTGATATAACATATCTGGGAGCAAAAGCTTTTGGTTCAGAGGACGAGGAGGAGAAGTATTTGATAATTTCAGCTAGCAAAAGCAAAATTGTCAGCGCAGAAATTTACGGGGTTAAAAGCAAAAGCCAGGTCTATGTATGTGGAGTTTAGATAATAAGCCATATGAAAATCTGGCCGTTGCAAAATGAGGGAAAAAGGCAAATTTAAAACACGCTTCGTTCGCGGAACCTAAGATATGTGCCAGAAATAACAGCCAATGACTTTCTGTATGGTCACACTCAGAGGATACTAATTGTAACAGCTTGGCGACAGGTATTTGGATAGTTCATCAGTATCCATTTTCAGGTGTTCATCTTCCGGTAAATAGCAGTAAACAAAGCTACGCCATATATCATTCATCACGGAAATCTGAGAGCGCGGTTTGCCGTCCTGACCAAAATTCTGCAAATTTCGAATCAAGAATTTTCAAAGCTCTTTTGCCTAATGCAGCCATTTCATGCTTTAGCAAAAAGACCTATATTTTTCTCTCCAAAACAAAAAATCAAACGAAAATAAAGGAATTTCACGTTTCACACAGTGGTTTAATTTTAAAAAATAATAAAAATTTAAAAAACACAGAAAAATAAATTTGACAAAAAACTTACATTGTTGCTGCAATTTGAATTGGTGGAATAGACTGAGTCTGAAAATACAAAGAAATTTTTAAAATGTGATTCGGTTTCCTTCATCTCAAAAATTACCCAAACTCGGAGACACTATTTTGGCTTCTGTAGAAAGTCCTCGCGCTTAAAATCAAACCAAGAGATAGGGCATTGAAATTCTGAGTGTTTTCTAGACAATTTTTTCCTGAAAGAACGCCTTCTTTTAGAATAAAGCTTACCGGCGCGTGGATTACTGCTTTTTCGTTGTGGTCGATACTTGTATTGTGGGTTCTCGAGCAAATGCTGTATACGAATAGCTTCTGCTTGTTGAACAAAGGGTTGCTTTTCCGCGTGTGACATACACTTCCACCGCGCACCTGTCCGTATTTATTAATTTTCAGCCTTAACTATTTCTACTTTTAAAAACGATCCAAAAAGTTTCAGTTATGAGTTCCCGGAAAAAGATGATGAGTTTCCAGAAAATAAAAAAAACACCAGCACATCACGTCTATAGCGTGCCTGCACACATGCGAGTGCTGCCGGTCAGATTATTCAATCGCATAGTTAAAAGGGCTAAGAACTTTTGAATTTACTGAATTAACTGTCTAAAGCTAAGCTCTTAAACTGTGCTGGATTGCGTAAATACGGTTTCGCCAAAACTGTTACCAGAAACTTAAAAACAAGAGCTTTCTGATCAGAAATTACACTAATTTACTGTTTGATGTGAAGCCTAAAATCAATTTTAAGCCCTCACTGCTTCCTTGCTATGCAATTCGAGTTCTGATTTAATTTGATTTTAAAACGCTATTGACACTTTAAAATTTTGTTTTTCACAACTCTCGGATAAGGCAAAGTCGACAGTGGAAGTTGACCAATCACCTGTTGAGTACACTGGTAGAATCACCAACTAAATCTCCAAAAAGACAGGCACAAGCATCCATAATTATTTGAAAAAATTGGTGAAAGCACATTTTACCAAGTATTTTGCTGAGATCCGCGTTGTGTATGCCGGGATTTTCCATCGCAAGTCGTTTGCGCATCTTTCTTGCATAAACCATGAATGCATTCATTGGCCTTCGAATACGACCATTACTGAGATATCCTATGCAATGCAGTTGATAAATGTAAATAAATTCAGACTTCTTCAAGATCTAATTTGTATAAAGACTTGCATTTCTTAAGATTCTTGGAAATTTCACTCCTTCCTCCTCTGCCTGAGAAAATAATATCTTTTTTTTTTTTTACTTTTTCTTTCTTTTACGCATAAAATGTTTACAATCTTTTGAAAAATCTACTGATATTGAAACAGACAATATTGGTGAATTCCCATCAAAAAGTTTCAATGACCATGATTGCTAAAACTCCAATGAGCATCACTGTTGATGTGAGAATGAACAAAATTGCAGCTGTAAGCGGATGCGGCTTCTGTTACCCGGGACTGGAGCATTAAGGTTAGGTGAGCCCACTTCGCTGGCTATCAAGTGGAGAGTCGAACTCTTCCATATTTGTATTACACAGAGTTTTCATTTTTGACAAAGCCTAGCATTTTTTTCTGTTCCTCTTGAAAAAACTGTGCAACCCCAGATTATGCTGACAATTTTGTTCCTTAAAAGTTCAAACTGATGCTTTCTCGCTTGATCTTTTTCAATTTCTTCTGAACGGGCTGTCTATCGACAAGTTATCAGTCTTTTATGAAAAAACTACAGCAGCAATCAGCAAGAATACGCATATAAAAACGAAGGTTTGAAGCTGAAGAGGACCAACTTTCTTGATTATTCTCTACAGCAGGAATTTTGTAGCTCTCGGCGGTACAGCAGCAACAAGCAGCTGTTTGAATGCGTTTCGACATCCAAACTCTAAAAGTTGTACTTGTTTTGCAAATTGTTGCCCTCGAGGTACGAACCCGAGTCCAGGCCATTTATCAGTGTTGCACAACCCTTCAGTAAGATTCGCTTATGCATGCACTTAGATTTCGTGCTTAATAAAATAAAAGTTCTTGAGTACATTGTGTATAGTAGGCGGGAACACATGAAAGTAAATCCGTAAGGTTGGACGTGATAAAAGCATTTATGAATTAGCAAGACTGCCAATGGCTTCATTTACCAAGAATCGCTTTGTGAAAAGCTGATGACAGCTACTACCTAGATATGCGCCATACCAATTTACCATCAAAATTCCCTCTAGCGGATTAAATCCTTCAGTTTTCAGCATGGAAACGTAGCTGCTTACCATTGTACTATGCAGCAATGCCAGACGCTAGCCAGACAGAATGAGGTTACTTCTATGCTAATCATGCAATTATTGGCGACTGCACTGCCTAGCCTTCAAAAATTTGAAGTTAAAAATAAGGATCTTAAGTCATATTTTAAAAGGTACAGAAATGAAGGAGCAGTTTGGGTTTTCAGTGATAAGCGATTGAAGGAAGCCGGAATTCTTAAAGAAACATGAAGCAAGGAAAAGGAGACGATTTTATGGGTCCGGTATTTGTAGCAAGCAATACGGCTCCGAGATGCAGAGTATCGGCAGATGATTCATGCAAACAACCGCCCATTCACTCACTTTTCCTGTAGTATCCGATCAAATGCAACAAATCGAGCATTCACACCGGAGAAGAGCCGCACAGTACCGTAACACTGCTCGTCCGCCAGGTCCTTTGAAGTTGATCCGGCCTACAGCAGAAATTTGCAAAATTTGACAATTTTCCTTCACTGTGTAGGTACTTTTGAGGCATTTCGTAGCTGCAAGGGATGCTTTGCCAGCAAACTTGCGGCGTTGCTTTTTGACTGTAAGTGGCGCGAAATAGGCGCGACCTAGAGTGGGGACGTCAACTGAGGTAGTTTATTTAGAATTTCCAATTTTACACTGTGTGAGAGGAAGAGTGTCTATGAAGTTGCCCAGCTGGTAGCAGACTGCTACTAATGGCCAACAACTGGCAAGAATATTGACGATTCCATCATTTGAGGTTTACTTGGAAACAAGTCCAGTTGCAACTTTCTAGCACGAAATATTTGTTATCAGAAAAAAAAACACTCTTTAACAGACAGTATGATATTTAGTACGATACTTGCACAAGTAATGCTGTGTGGGAAATCGGCGATAAGAAAATGAATTACCTACGCTTCGCGAATGATATAGTGCTTATTGTAAGTAGCCCTCTCGAGATAAATGAGGTATTGCATCACAAGTAAAACTGTAAGCAGGTATTAAACCACTAAACGAGATACCCACAATGATTGTCCGAACAGACTTGGTCCTAGCATCGGCTAGTTGTTTCAGGAAATATAAAACTGCTTGCGGCACATTTAGCAGAGAGCAGTTGGTGCTTAATGTTCCAATCCTGATTTAGCTCGGCTTTAGATCTAGTGGTCATTATTTTGCCTGCATCATCAATTCTTATAACAGGCTAGTCCCAGTCTCTACAAAGGAAGTTTCATTCTTTAGCTGAAGGCAAGGATCTATTTTTCCTCCAACAAACAGAACTGTCATGCTGTTAGGTTGTTCAGGGCAAGGATGAATGACTTTTTCGAGAAAAGAAAACAAGTCCAGTGAGAACGGGAGGCTGGTAAAAAGATGGTACTGTTCAGCTATCAGCTAAGGGATCCTGAAAATTGTTGTATGATCGCAAAAGCTGTAGATGATTTGACGGTAAGAGGTGGTAGGTTGCTTGGTTCGGAGTGCTAGGAATCAGACAACAAATAAAGGTCGTGGAATCGTATGCAAAGGGCGTTCAACTATCTTTTCGTTTGCAGCTGTTTTCTGTATCGTACGATCATCGTGAACAACACAGAAGCCAAACATAAAACACGTGCACCGGTATAGAGATACAGGGGAGAAGTACGCATGGATGTTTTGGGAAACGTCCAGAACCCATGAAGATTGTGTTTTTGCCAGTTTTACCACTCACGTTCAAAATGCAGTTTGATGCTTCCCACAAAAATTAGTGCATCTAGAAATACCTATGACTCAGTTCAGTCCCATCAAAATACGCCAGGAGTACCAAGGCAGCTCGAGTTATTAGTGTGGGTAACTCTTATTGGTGATGTTATTTGAATGGTCTCAAATGTTAAGCGCAATTATGTCAGGCTTTTTGATCCATGACTGCATGTCTCCAGTTAGTACCCATCACCTGTTTTGTGCATGTACGCTCTGTCAAAGTGTAATTGATACTATATCTGAAAGGTTTTTTCACGAACGAAAAATATTTTTTATGAACTTTGAGTGCATACGTGTCCTGAAACAGAAATTAGCCTCAACATAAATCCGACAAGCAGACAATTAGCTATGAAGAATGTGCATTATGCATTTAGAGTTACAACAGAAGTGAGAAACAGCAGTTTATCTGTAATCGTGTTAAAACCCGATTTCAAGTAAAGTCGATTTTTAATATATGGACCCGATACACTTCTGACATATAAGATACCAAGCCTCCATTTTTCTTTTTTTGCAAACCGAAAAAAAGCAGTGTAAGAGAACCGCTTTACGCATGCACGCCAACGGTTATTTTTTCATTTTTTTCGTCATGACCTTTCGGAACACTTGGCTTCTTCTTGAACATCGCCGCTCCGAATGTTTTCTCAAAAAAAGTGTCTGGTGCTGAATCACTCCGCCGTCAGTTCAGTCTTTTTGCCATCTTGATCCTGATCAGCTTTCATGAGGAAATATTAATATAATCACAGTATGATCTTCTTTTGTTGCGACCATAAAATTGTGTGATGTTTTTGCAGCAAATGAACGAAGGATTTCGAATACCTGATTACAGGTTTCTGGATGCTAACTGTTTGCGCATCCAGAAACTGACAGATTGCGGCACATGCCAAAGCACCGGTGTACGCATAAGTTTTTTGCATTTCCTCTTTAACCACCATCGTCCTTTACGACTCCTTACGCTTCACTCTATCCATTTTCAGATATGCATATTAACTGCTGCATGACACCAATATAAGTTTCTAGGGTTGCAGCTTTCTTTGCGTACGTGAGACATTGGGAAGGACGGCTTTAATTTTGTTTCTGGATCAAAACAAGTGTCAAAGATTATAAACGCGGAATTTCATCTTTCTAGCTTTTCTGGTTGCGAAGTCAGAAAACCGATGAAGGAACACGTGCAGACATCACAGTGACATAAAAGGATCCCTATAGTACATAGATATATACAAAAAGGCACAAAAAGTGATTAAAAATGGTACTCATATTTTTCATTTTGACCAAAACGGTGTTTCTTTCTTTTTTCAGCAGCAGCCTCAGTTTTTCTTGAGTGACTAAGTCAAACGAGTTCCAGAACATGTAAATAGATTTTTGGCGCTTGTGGATTTAGCTCCTTTTTAAACAAATTTCGTTCTTGATCGACAAAATTTGGTATGTTCATTGTAAAAAACAATCTCTTTCATGCAGCACCATGATTTACTAAATATTGGCAATTTGAATTTATGAGTAAGTGCTTATAAACGAAAACAGGAAGGCTATATTAGTTCTCAGATTTAGATTTTAAAGTATGCCGGATGTTTGTGCTGAAAACAAAAGGATCAGATCAGTTGATCAAGACAAATGGAAATTTTTTAGAACTTGTCTGGATAAGCAGTGTTAGTCAATATCAAATTACAGCAAGAAGTCTTATAAATCAACTGTATATATATATATACATATATATATACAGTATATATATATATATTTGAGTATTACAAAATTCACATTAGAGAAAACACTGACCAGGTAAGCCAAAAAACACAACTGACCAGGTATCTGTCCACTCTATCCATCTTATCAAAAAGCACCTTAAAAAAAATTTTTTTAGTCCGTTTCATATCTTTTCAATTGACTACTTTTTGAGCAGTAAGGCTTTTAGAATATGCTGTTAGAGGTTTCAGAAGAAAAATTACTGGAGAAAAAACTATTAATAAAGTTAGCCCGTGTAAATTTGGTTGTTCTGAAACAAAAATGCATAGCGATAATACGTCAAATCAAAGATGGAGGTAGCATTGGCTGTGGAACAAGACCTTGCCCGGCCAGGAATTGCGCGAAACGAGCATCATCCTCGGCACTGGTCAGATATCGTTCTCCACCAAGCTGCAACTCCAATCTTCTCAAGTCCATGTAAACTTGTGCACCAACTAGCCACTCGTGCTTCATGCACTCGTCGATTGTTAGT